CAAGTTAAAACCGCAGTGAGTCACCACTGCATACCCATTCTCACAGCTAAAATTAAAAGACCACTATTAGTAATGTTCCTAAGAAACAAGCACAACTGAAACTCTAATAGACTTGTGATAATATTATAAAGCACTATAATAGCTTTGAAGACTAATTTAGCAGTTTCTTACACAGTTACACACGCACTTAACTCATGAGCCACAATTCCACTCCTAAGTACTTAACAGAAGCAACAGCACTGTATGGCTAATTGGCTCTCAGATAGAGATCTAAGAAGGAGGGAGATAATGAAAATGTAAAATGTGAAATTTCATGATTGTGGTGATGATTATATACATTTATACATGTATTAAAACTGAAAGTGTACATCGAAAATGACTATAGTGTTGTTGGCATTGATACTTTAATAGAACTGAGCTTTCAAAAGTTATAGAATTTATACATGCAAACAAACAAGTCTATCCCTCCAAATTAATTGATTTGTGAGCAGAAGAATGGAGAGTGCTTACGGATGTTAGCGAGAAAAGATAAAGCCCTGAGACATTTGGCAAGGGAATGGAAAACAAACGTTGGCCAAGTTAGGAAAGTTCAAAAATATTACACAGAGGGCCACTCTACCACTGAGTTGTATCTCCAGCCCTTTTATTTTGAGATAGGGTCTTGCTATGGTGCCCAGGCTGGCCTCAAACTTTTCTTCTGCCTCAACCTCCCCAAAAGCTGGGATTACAAGCATGTGCTACCATGCTCAGCTCTAGCAATGTATAATTTTGAGAGATAGTATTTTCTTAGTATGAAATGTTGAATTTAAATGGGGGTTTACACCCTTGGTCCAGGGGAATAAAACACTGAAGACCTGTTGAGGGAATCCTGGAAGTAAAATACAAAGGAAGTTTATTATTATTATTATTTTGAAAGTAGTGAAATACAACAGAACAAGACAGAACATAGCCAACTGAGACAGTGCAGTGAAATTGGTACAGAATGTCACAACAGGTTACCGGGATAACAGTAATAGATGCCATAGTATATCTCACTATCTTCACAATAGTTGTTCTTTCTATCAGGTATGGCAAAATCAAATGAAATACAGAACATTATAGAACTTATCAAAACAGAATATTGACTAGAGCAATACAGTTAATCAGCAAAACACTGACGACAATATTTGCCTTCAAATAAATGGTAGAAGGAAATTTCCCCCATTTGATATGTTTCATACGGTCAACCTCCCAAAAGATACTCAGACCTCTGGTTCCTATTTGCTAACGGTGGGCCGGGGTGCAGACAGGATGTTTGATTCGAGCCTGCAGACCAGAAGGCTCACTGTTGCTTACCAGGGAGGCGGGCTAGTTGCTTGGTTTCCCAGCACCCTAAGTTTCAAAATGATGCAGATCTCGAGAGATGCTGAGTGGTTCTCCCTCTCTGGTGGCTGCCACTTGCCCCAGCCATGGCTGCTTACCAAGGAGGCAGACTGGTTGCTTGGTTTCACAGTGACCTAAATTCCAACATGGCATGAATCTGGGGAGTCTCTGGGTGCTTCTCCCCCTGGGGCAGCTGTCACTTGCCCAAGCCACGGCTTCTTACTTATAAAGGAATTTTTTTAGATAGCATATTTAAATCTTGGAACACGTAGTATAAATTTGTGTGAGTTATGGAAGAGTGCTATCTCCATCACTTTTCATGCTACTTAGGTGATGAGCTGATCTTCCCCCCAATTTGCTCCTCCTCCTGGAATCTTGTGTTTCCACCATCCTAAACTCTTCCTCCTTCCTGGCCTTCCTCTCTCCCTTCTACTTAATCACAAAGTCTTATAATTTCACTAAAACTAAAAACAAATAAACAGACAATCTCCCCGAAACCCAAGTATATGTGGTTTGTGTCATGTTCCTTTTTATAGATTAGTTTTAATTAAACTGTAATTGTACATATTTGTAGGGTACAGGGTGACTTCAGTGTATGTATACAATGTATAATAACCAGATTGGGGCAAAGGACACATCTATCATCTCAGTCATTTATCATTTTTGTATTGGAACATTTAAAAATCCTGTCTCTTAGCTATATTATGTTCCTGTTTTCTGTTTTTCAATAAGAGGTTACCTCCAAACCCTAGAACCTGAGTTATTATGGTGAGTAATTGTGGATTGCCTCACTAGAAAAGTAGGATCAGTTGTTCTGTAACTGTATTTGTTCAGCAAAATCACCAGTTCTTTTTAATGGTCAGTTTACCTTCCAGAGACTCAGGTTCCATAGACATAGAGTGAGGCTCTGAGATTTATATTTTTATGTGAGTATCATAAATATATCTGGTGCATACCAGAAGTTTAGTATGTTGATTGATAATTGGATGGTGATTGTAATAATATTGTTTTGCACTTGCCAACTCAATAAGGTTTCTTCTGGAGGCATCGCTTACACAACATCATTATAAATAATTTGATCATATACAAGGTATAAAGAATAATAAAATGAATACCTCAATACCCATGATCCAGTGTAAGACATGGCATCTCAGTTACATAGCACAGTCCTTCAATGTCTTGTTTTCTTGTTGCATTACCTTATTTACCCTCAGAGATAATCACTGCTCTGATTTCTATCTATAAAAGTTTTACTGTGCTGTAACTCCTATTCCATACGTTTGAAGTATATGAATCAAGAATATTTGTGGAGTTGTACAACCTTCACCACTGTCAATGTTAGGACATCCTAATGAACTCTGAAAGAAACTTTTAACCATTAGCAGTCACTCCCTATTTCTTCCCAGCCCACCCAAGTCCCAGTCCTGGACAGCCACCAGTCTACACCCTGCTCCTATCCGTGTTCATAATCTAGGTAGCTGTACTGTACATCATGTTTTCAGTCCGCGGTCTTTTGTGACTGGCTTCTTTCATTTAGCATCCATTTTCAAGGTTCACCCATTTATATATCACTTATATATGTGTCAGTATTTCACTCTCTTTTATGGTCAAATTGTCTTTCTCTTGCATGGATATACCATGTTTCATTTATTCGTTCACCAATTTATGGACATTTTGATTGGTTCTATTTTGTGACTGTTCTAAGTAGTGCTGCTTCTGTGGATACTTCTACAAATATTCATGTACAAATTTTTATGTGAACCTAAGTTTTCAGCTCTCCTGACTGTATATCCAGAAGTGGAACTGCTGGGTCATGTGTTAGCTCTATACTTGAACTCTGAGGAACTGCCAAACTTTTTTTCCAAAGCTGCTTCTCCCTTGATGTTATCATTTTCATACATGTCTTTGAAGTTCTCTTTGCTGGTATTTCTAAACAATACGTAGAAATGCTGTGCATGGCTTTAAATTTAATATAGAGGATTTCATTCTACACTGTGAACATCCTGTAACTTATTTTTATCATCAGTGTGTCTGTAAGATTCACCTGTGTGGAGGCGGGCAAATACAGTACTAACTCATTATTTGCTCTGCTGATATGTTGCTGGGTTACATGAATACACACTTCACCTTGACTATTTTGTGTCTGTTATACACTTGTCTAATTTTTAGCCACACTAAATATACCATCTGCTGTTAATACTAGTCCTCATTTCCCACTACAAATTGTCATTTTATTCTTGCTCATGTAAATTTCAAGGTTGGTGCATGTGGTTAAACAGCTCTCCTAGAGAACTATCCTCTGTGTACTAATTTAAGATCTCAGCCTTTTCCACTTTCTATCACTGCCATTTTTTAGCTCTTCTTGAGTTCTCTGTTGAATCACCCAGCTAATATAATAAAGAAAGCAAGATTGTATTGCATGGGCCATTTTTATGGCCAGAAGGGAACTCATCTTTTTTGTTCACTTTGAGCTTGTCAAATCCTGGCCATCCTGACCAAACTAACTACAAAGAGAACTTAGTCTTACTCTGTATGCAGAAAAAAGAGTAGACAGTTGCTATTACCAAGCCAGTGTCTGCCCTGTTTACTTTTACATTTATCCCAACTTTTTGTAACTTAAAATAAAGCCCCTTTGCACATTCTCAAACCTGTGTTCTTGTTTATGTGGGCCTCAGTTTCTCTAAATGCCATTCGTTTATCTTTTTGAATGGCATTTGATCAAAGGCTGTGTGCCTGTTACATCATGTAAGATAATGTGCTAACTCATCTCCCACCCAGCAAGCAGAGTGGGTGTTCCACATTCCTACTAATGCTAAGTAGTAGCCACACTGTGTTAAACCAGGGGCACTAATTCTTGGAAGATGATAAATAGTATGCGTTTGAGATGGATAAATACAAGAGAGTAAAAATATCAAATAACATGTGTGGTAGACAGAATGACGGCCCTCCAAACATGTTTCCATCTAGATCCCCAGAACTACAAACCGTGTTGCTTTATGTGGCTCAGAGGACTTTGCAGGGACAATTAAGTTCAGGATCTGGAAGTGGGAGATTTTCATGTATTATCCTAGTGCATTAAGTATAATCACAAGAATCTTGTAAAAAAGAGACAAGAACGTCAAATCAAAGAAGAGATATGACAATGGAAGCAGAGGTCTGAGTGAAGCGCTTTGAAGCCAGAGTCAGCACTCACCGGGCAAGGGATGTAGGTGTCCTTTGAAATCTGGAGAAGTCACAGAAATGGACTGCTCTTGAGGCTTTAGAAAGAACTAGCTCTGCCACCATCATGTGTATGTGCGTGTGTGTATGTGTATGAAGACAGTCTCTCTATGTATCCTAGACTTTCTGAAATCATGATCCTCCTGCCTCAGGCTCCAAAATTCTGTGATTGCAGGTGTGTGCCATGATACCCAGTTCTGCTAACATTTTACTTTGTGTCCATAAGTCCCATTTTGGATTTTTCATCTCCAAAACATTAATGTAATAAATTTGAGGTGATTTTTATAGCAGCAGTAGCAAATTAATATAACATGATACTAGATAACATGTATCAAGTATTTACATGTTCTAGGTGCTCTTCTCTGCTGCATGTATAAGATTAGTTTATTTCGTTGACATCCTGCGTCCTTAAATTTCAGGATGCTGACTGAGAGTGAGGTGGACATAATGAAAAGAGGAAGTAGCTTTGAGAAAGAAACACAGTGTGTGGAAATCTCACCCAGTGAGTGAACTCTGTGACTCAGCAAGCAGCAGAAATGTGAACTACGATCAACATGGGCATGCGAGTTGGGACTATGCCCTCTGTCCCGGACTGGACAAAAGGTGCCTTTTGTCTTAGACTTTGAAACATACAAGATGCTCTGCCTTGTGTTTTGAAGGGGAAAAAGAGAGATACAGGAACCTGAGCAAAAGTGAGATGAAAGAAATTAAGTTGACCACATTATTCTCTGATAACATAAGTAATGATATCTAAATGTCTCATAGCTCTTTTCTGCTTATAAGTTGAATTCACTCACACTTTATTGTAGCTTTGTGGGGTAGGATTTGGTTCTAGAAAACAAATGGAAGAAAATATGGCCAGGTGAAAGTAAATGCCCTGCCCACAGTACTACAGCTCGTAACTGTTGGTATTAATAACCTGAATTCAGCAGTTTCTTAACCCTACCGATATTCTCAAAAGACTGATATGTGTATTTACTGTGCATACCCTTACTTTTGCAAGAAATTAGGTAGAATTAGGTAGAAATTAGGTAGAATTAGGACTTCAGCCTTCTGTGAAATGGGAGGCTAACTTAAGGACTAGTCTTGTTGGCTACACTTAAAGTATATCACTTCAGCCTCAGTCTCATTGAGTTGTAAAAGTTCCTTTTAGATTCTGATACTATACCATTATCAGATAGATGATATGCAATGTTTTCACTCATCTCATGGGCTTTCCTCACTTCCTGGGTCATGACCTTGCATAAAGTTTTTAATTTTGACAAAATAAAATTTATCTCTTTTTAATGTGGGTGCTTGAGTTTTACATGACTTCTCTATGAAACTATTGACAGATCTGAAGTCATTCAGATTTACCTCTGTGTTTTCTTCTGTTTTATAGATTTAGTTCTTATATTTAGACTTTAATCTATTTTCAGTTAAATGTTATATGTGTAACATGAGGTGATGGTGGCCAAACTGACTCTTTTAGGTATGTGGGTATGTAGCTGTCCCTCCACCTTTGATTGGAAATTGGATTGTCCTGACACTTTTTAAAAAGGCCAATTAACCATAGATGTTTGTTTTTTTTAAATGAACTCTCATTTCTATTCAATTGAGTGTGTGTGTATGTATGTGTGTGTGTGTGTGTGTGTGTGTGTGTGTGTGTGTGTGTGTGTGTGTGTGTGTGTCGTTTGGACTTGGTTTGAAAGATTATGACAAAATATTGTTTAACATATAACATCTGATCCCTGGAGATTCAGTAAATCTAAAAAAGCTCTTGAAAATTTATACTTTATATAAGCACTACCAAGTGACTCTGGAGCCAAGATAAGGAAACTCACAGTACTTTTCAAACTTCATTAACCAGTGGACTCACTGGAGGTCTTGAGGAAATGCATATTCTGATGCAGCAACTCTACATTGGTGGCTGAATTTCTGCATGTCTAACCTAGGAGATGATGATGCTGTGGTCCACAGATAACCTGTGAATGGCCAGTACTAGAAGAGTCTCCCTGCCCCCAAGAGTCAGGACCCCAATTCCTTGTAGGCAGCCATCAGGGGTTATATTTAGGATTTGATCAATAGATCATTTTCATTAACATTTGCCTTTTTTTTTAAACTTATATGCTGCCAAGATATTGAGCTCCTGCAGCTGATGTGTTTCAGACTTGGGGGGATGGTTTTTTTAAAAGGCTTCTGAATTTCATTTCTAGGCCTACAAAAAAAAAAAAAGACACGCTCAGCTGAAGAAAGGATTTATTGGTTTCTGAACTATTTCGCATTTGATTTGAATTCTACTTTTTCCCAGACGATGTCTATTGGCAGGTAATTTTTCTCTTACAATTGATACTTTAATGCAGGTATCTAATTGCATCACATTTGACTAGAAATTGGTTTAGATATATCATAAGTGCTAGATTACATCAGCTTTTCCAATATCCATCTGGTGTGCCTTTATTTCAGAGGTGGTCTATTTAAGATGTTGATGGATTTTTCCTTAGAACCTTCCTCTTTATTTTTTTTTCCCTGTGTGCTCTTAGGAAGGCATTCTAATCATCTGGATGTGGACTAGCTCACTTTTCACATGAGGAGCCCTTAATTGTTGCTATCTTCTCTCAGGAAAGCCGCTGTTTCTCAAGAGCGCTGGTAGAGGATTGCACTTGACAGTCCTCAGATGCATACTCAGATGCGCCCTTGCATATGACTTCGTGTGATATTATCTGGGTTGGGGTATAGTAAGTGGTCATTGATTTTCTGTTGAAAAGGTTTTGCAGTTCAGGCAACTGCAGCTGTTAATTGTAGATGTCAATTCTAGTAAACCTACGTTTCAAAACTGACCTGACCTCATGCAGTGTTTGCTTTTAAAATACTGGCAAAGTTGTGTGGTACAACCACTTGATATTTTCAATTGTTTGTCTTGGTCCTTAATTGCTATTAACTGTTTCATGAAGCTTTGAGTAACCTTCAGATAATAGTCTCTTAAATCTTATGGTGATTTTTCTTTTAGATTGAAATCTTTTAGTTACAGTATCTTTGCGGCTCTGTATTTACCTCCATTTTAAGCATGGCTTGGTACTTCTATTGTTCCACTTTTTGCTAAACAGTGTTTTTAATATGAATAATGCAATCACATGTTTAAAATATCAAACAGTACTTAAGAGATGCTTCCCCTTTCCAATTCTATTCTTTCTGTTGGTAGCCTTAAACAATATTTTGACATCTCTCTTTCTTGATGGACACAGAATCTCTTCAATTCCTACTCTGAAAACAGTGAGGGAAGTTAGAGCAGTTACATAAATTTTCACACTCTTGTCCAACTCTTACTTACCAAGTCTTTTTTTTTCTCCTTATGATCTAAATATGTGTTTAAATTTTTTTCTTTTAATAGTATTAATTTTTAAAATTGTTTAGTTATTTGAAGAGGAAATAGTCATTCAAAATAATCAAAATATGAAGTATAGGTATCCTTCCCCCAGTCTTTTATGAAATTACTCTTTCCGGTGGGTAACTGATGTTAATTACTTCTGGAATAAATTGTAGACACTTTCAGTGCATAGAAAAGCAGTTGCATGATTGCGGGCCACCATACCCATATTCGTAGTGGTGTCTGCATGGAGCACTACGCATATGCCCTTTGGATCCTCTTGCCCTCACTTGCCCTGTCCCATTATCAAAGGGGACACAACTAATTGCGAAGCCTCCAGACATCCTCTGTCAGGTCCAACCTAACTGCGCCTCACCTTGCACCCAAGCCCACTGTCTCACTTCTTCTCCCCTAAGTTGCCCCTGTTCTGAAAGAAAGAGACTCCATGATGAGAACCTACTTACCGCACTGAAAGGCACTACTTAGAAGCATGGGAAACTCATGTCCCATAAGGCAGATCTTTGACCAATCAGAAGCAAACTCCAAAACCTACTTGTTCCTTTTACTCCTCAACTGACTGTCTTAAGAAATTGTGTTGGCTTCTCAAAAGATGGTTCCATAGATACAGCTAGTCCCTCTTAGTGGTAGGCAGCAATATAAAGCCTTTTCATTGAGTTCACTTTTGGCGGGGGTCAGCAGGGATCAAACTCATGACCTCACACTTGCCAGGCAGAAGCTTATGCCACTGAGCTAAATCCCCAGCTCCACATAAAGCTTTTTCATATGGAGACTCTGCCTTTCTCTGTGCCTTGGTCCTGCTCTCTGAGCTCATGTTCCCTCCTCAGGCAGCAGACACAAACCCTCAGCTCTACTTCAGGGTGTTTTGGTGGTCTTTGGCTCGAGGTGCTTTCATATGTGGAATTAATTTTAATTTATCTCAGCTATTCAGAATAGAGATACTTTAATTCATACTGGCCTTCTGTACTAGTGTGAATTAATAAGGTTTTATTATACTCAAATTCTGAATTACAAATGTTATTGGTACCACAGTTAATTAAAATGAATATGAAATCATGATGGGGATAGAAAGAGGAAGAGAAATTTTAATTTTTCTAACTAGTAGAAATAGTTTGCCTCGTCATATTACATGTTCTATAAATATAAAGTTTATTAGACAGCTCTATAACAGTAGAATGTTGAAGTACATGTTTATGTTGTAATATATTTAATACAAATGTTGGGAGGAATATAAAGAATTAAATCAGTAAACTAAAATGTTGTTTTAAGTACATATTAATATCAATTATAATGATATCTACTGTGGTATCTGAGTTCATAAATGTTTTTGTTTGCAAACAATTTGGTTCACAAACAGAGACAAAATTTTGACTTTATTTTTCAGACTGCATCTGGTGACAAACACAACCATGACTGTCTTTCCCACATAAACACAAATGTGGCCTTCTTTTCCAAAATAGTAAAACAAATTAAGTTCATGAACTCAGGTACTACTGTATTTAAATTTTATAGTTCCATAAGATATTTAGGCAAAAGAAATTTTTGGACAACAGACTTCTTAGGGAGCTTCTTATTTGCTTGATAAAAATATGAAATAGCTGTACAATATGAATATATATCTGTTCATATAAATATAGATGCTTATGTAAATACATTTATATATCTTTATATACAAATGCACACTTTGGAAGATTAGCTGTGTGTAGTGTGCTTATTACTTTCTCCCATGACAGGTTAACATTTCTATTTAGTGTCCCTTTTCTTCTCAGTTTCAATGACCCATTAGTAAACTTTCCTGATAGAGATTCTACAGAGGGTTTTCATGATTTGTTTCCCCACAAGGAACATGGTAATATTAAAATAGGCAACTTTGGTTCATGTTTTTTCTTCCCTACTGATTCCATATTTTACTGTAAAAGTAAAAGTTACTAAGAGTGATCTAGATACATAGATACCCCTTTACCTATGTGAACTATAATGAGAATACTTATCCAGCCCTCTCCTATAATCTTAATCATGCTCATTTGGCTCAGGGTTCCCAGTGGGTCCAGTCCATAGCTAATTTGTTCCAAGGCAAAAGCAGCATGGTAGAAGGACCTAGCAGAGAACAGCTACTCATCCCTTCACAGAGAGAGATAGGAGGGTGAAAAGCTGAGAGAGAAAGGAGGATCTTGGGAAAAGAATTAAACCCAGTGATCTCCAACCACATGCTACCTCCTAACAATATATTCAGTTACTG